TACAGCCGTCTGAACGAAAAGTTGGGCCCCCCACCCTCTCCACACGCGTACAGCAGCTGTCCGCACCACCCAGAAACTGGAGGCAAGTGTTGTGAAACTCCGGGCCTCGGATCTTCTGATTGTATGGCTCAGCGACGCAATCTTTGCCATCTAACAGGAATGAAGATTAGTTCCTCCCTTTGCATATAAACGGACCCCGGAGGAGAAAGTTGATCAGCAACTCAACTCACCAAATGCACGGTTGTTGAAGGCGGCGCAGGCCTTTGTTGTCGCACACGAGTTTTGCACTCCAAGGACGTGGCAGAAGCAGCGATCCCAACTCTCGGCACTGGCAAGACTGAAAAAGCCCAGACTTGAGAGGTATTTTTAGTGAATAGATGGATAGATCGGACGTTTGGGAGTCTTACAGGGAGAGTTGGATTACGGTGGTGAGCTTCATGATGGTTGGCGTTGATTCTTTGAAGAAGAAGATGTAGTGCCGAAGAGAAATACAAACAGAGTAGGCTGAGGTCCAAAGTTGAAGAGCATGTAACTGTGTTTATATATCTCTATCTTTAGCGAAGCGCAAAAGGGCTACGTGTGTGTGTGAATGTCTCAAGGATGAGATGATAGCTATCAAAGTCTAATGTTGAGTACCTTAAACACTATTATAGACTGAGGCTGTCGAAGTTCCCATTTTGTTAAAGTTTGACTTGGATCTGTGCTTACAATGATGGTAATTATATGTGTCACTCCGCTGCTAGCTCCTGGGCATGCTAGGCTTTTAGTTAGTGCTTACATCTTGTTGGTAGCGAAATCCTGCTTCTACGACTAGACCCTCGGTTCTAGCAGATGATATGTTTAGAAGTACTGAATTCAGACGCGTTGAAAACAGGCCTGGCCTACTAAGCTTCAACAATATATCTTCCTACTTGCTGTAGATTATCAGACCCTCCGACCGCAAAATGCAGTCTGAGTCTTCTCATTTGCGTTTATGATCAAGCATTGCATTAAGAACGGAGATAACCTCGACTGTATCAAGATGGTACTTTCTTATTCGAACCTGACTTTGGGTTTGATTCTAGATTCTAGTACGCTTTTACTTTCACAACGTATTTCGATAATTGTTAACTTTATTGCGAGTGCAGAAGTAAGGTTTTGTTCAGCAAGGCGCGTCTTGTCAAAAAAGCACCGCACCGTGGCTTAATCAAGCTAAGGCACCCGTTGACAGGTGTCAGGAAACCAGAAAACAGAACGTCAGTGTACAAGCCTACATGTTAGTGGTAAAGCACGGTCTTGTCTTTGCCTTCATAGTATTTCGGCTGCTAAACCTTGCAGTCGATTAACGATCCGCTCTTACGTCCGTAAGTAGAGCTTACTCCTGCAAGGTTTTCAAATGTTGTACAATGTTCGGTGTTTCCCAGTGTTATCTTAGTCCAGTCAGCTTGTATTTCAATCTGAGTTTGAGTAGTCTGAGCCATGGGACTATGTCACGCCCAGTGGCTGACTCCACAGACTCAGACAAGGATGCATCTCAACGCATCTCTTTGGTATCTACCTAGTATATAAGTCACTGCGAACCCCCCTCAAGAATATATGTCAAACTCATACGTTCTTAATCATTCCCGTCTTTTGTAATCACGAGCCATGAAGCTCTTCTACTATGCTCTTCTTTCAGCCGCAACTCCGCTGGCCTTATCTCTCGGAGTTCCCAGGTAAGACAGTCGAACATAACGAGATGACTGAGCTAATTCCAGTCCCCAGCGCAAGCTCTGAGCAAGTCAACCAACTTGCTGCCCGAGCCGATTTGTAGGCTCCCCTGACGTGGAGAAACAATGCGTTACTAACAGTACCTTAGTGACACTGCCGATTCATCTCTTGTCGACAGCGCCCTTCCGAAGAGGAATCTTGCGAAAAGAGACATCACGGGCATCACTCGCCAATGCTACGGAACGAACGGGAAATTCAAATATATCTTGCAAGGTGTCCTCATCACTACTTCTATAGTCGGCAACACTTTGCACTATACCATCACCACTTCTCTGGCGGGCTCGAGTCTCAAGTCGGTCATCTTTGACTTGGGTCACGGATCATATGAGTTGTTGCTAGGGGACCGGGGAACTTTTGAATTCGCGCAAGGTGCGCTGAATATCTACGCAGGAAGACGCTAGATGGTGGATGATGATCACCTTTCCAAGGCTTGCCTCACGTGATGGTGTAAGCATACTGTTAGAAGACCAACGCGGGTAGGCCACGGGCGGAAGATTAGATAATCTGAACGGCTTGCATAGAGGGTCGCGACATACCCTAGATATCACATGTTATTTAATCGCGAGTCGATATCGAATATGGCATTGTATGACTTGCTGTAGAATAGCATGTAACGGAACACTATCGAGAGTCTTAGCATATTGGCTTTCTATCGGCTGTACCCTCTTCCTCTATCTTTCAGACCGATTCGTATGGCTGTTGCTTAGTTAGGCCACGGCTCTTTCTTTCTTTTATGGTGTTACTGATTAGGATAGAATATATAGGTAGAGATATATGTGTATGTTCAATATCTTAAACGCAATTCAGACAAGTATTTTCTTTTACACTAGTTAAATTGTGTATAGCTATTAGAGGTGTTAGGTAGACGAGGTTAGGCTAGTTCTTAGAAGTGCGTAGCTGATCTTGGGAAAAAATATGGGTACAGAAGATTCTTTTTTGAAACACAGTATCAATCACTACATTGAAACTTGTGCACCGGCTTAGGAGGTAGGTAGATACATATGGCGCTGGAAGCTGACCAATTTCCGCGCGCGATGAGGACGAGCCATGTCTCGCGCCATCAGACTTTGGAGTCGTGCTAGTTTTAAGACACAATGTCTTTGTGAAGCTGTGCTCACATGTATCACGTATTTAGTCGTTCACGGTCTTGGTATGTCTTGGAATGAGTCGCTGATGTAGAGAACCAGCAACTAACGCCCTCTCGTCGAGTGTCTTGAAAGAATATGCGCTGAACTGTTCAAGACATTGAACTATAAGCTATGGCGTAGAGAATATATAAAGACTTGGGTCTAAAGAAGACAAAGATTGACTAAACTAAAGAAGATAACATATTTGAACGATGCCTCTAAATGCTACGAGTGACGAAACTGTTGGTCAGGAGAAGGATCACTGGGAAGGTAAGATTACACTCCACTCTTTTCACCAGTTGCATGACTAACTAGAAACACGACTATAGATTTACGAGAGAACAATGTTCCGCGATTCTTATTCCGAATGTTCCATTGGCAAAGCCGCGGCGGCCCAGGGCTAGCAATAAACAACGCAACCGAGATCGTACCTCGAGGCTTCATGAACGGCGATAAAGGATCTAGTGTCTATGGTAAGACCGAGAAAGAAATGTGCAAAATGGTGAACGACCATTTTGATGACAATAAAGAGGTTCTTACAGAGTTTAGCTCTTGGGCAGCCTCTCTCCATGCGGTTCTCTGCTATGCCCGAGACACACGAGCCGACTGGAATCCTCATGTCGCTGTTATCGATCGCACGAGATTAGAAGGCGAGGTTCTTGTCTGGTGGGTGCCAGATCTTCTCGGTGCTAAGAAAGGTGACGTCGAGTATCTGGCGCATGGATGTATACGGGGTCGTGGTTATACCGCAGTACCTTTTGAACAGCTCGTCACTAATGGGCTTTATAGTTTGTTCCCCGAACTTGAAGCTTGGAAGAAGAATCACACAAACGGCATGCCCTTTGGCCGTAAGCTACGGAAAAGGATGTTTGACCGCGCACCACCAGTTGATATCTCGACCGAGGACATTGCAACTGCTAAGAAAATAGGTACCTTATTTGGAGAGCTTGCTTTGCCCGTCATGGCCGCTCTGCTTTGTCTCCGGCCGCGGGAAGCTACTGGATTCAAAGAGATGGCAGTTCGGGTGATTGAATCACTAGATACAAGACAAGTAGAATTCGAGCTTGCGACAGGCTTTTGGGCGCATCCGGGAGCAACTTACACACGCAAAACGAGATACCGTGATACTGGCAGGTGGTATCCAGATGTTGAACAGTGGATTAAATTGCTTCGTGCGATCAACAGCCATGACTTTCGCCGAGACACAAGGAAGCGGAAGAGAGCCAACTCCGACTCTGAATACGAGCCTGATACTGAGGATTACACCAATCGGTTTCGGAGCTATTATAATACGCGAAAAGGTCCACGGCTGGATTATACTAGAGTAATGCCAGCGATATTAGGCAAGGCAGAAGATTTTGTCCAGTTTGGTTCCGCGGGGTCGGATGAAGGAGAAGAGGATGAGACTTTAGACAAGGAGGGAGACGAGGTGTCAAATAAGGACACGGACGAAGTGTTGAACGCAAAACAGGATGAGGACATGAACAAGGAGGAGCAGCATACAGCGATGCAACGCGAATTTATGAAGAGATGGTTGGAGACGTGTTCTGAGTATGTAAAGACATGTAAAAAAGGCCTGTGAGATGAATGAGCAATAGCCGAAATACTTACACCATGTCAATTCATCACCAGCGCCACACACTCGAATGAACATTGCGCCAACGCTGCGCTATCAATAACAGATCTGTCCCTTCTTCAAACTGCTGATCTGAGTCTCGAGCCCGAACCCAGCTCTCTGACGATCCGATGTCTTCTCTCCCCTCCATTGATCACCATCAGACACCCCAAATCTCAACTTTGTCTGCATGACATCTTTCCGCACTGAGTCGCCTCCTAATGACGACCCGACCATGATCTCATCCAACACATTATTCCTTGTCGTGGCGACGATAGTAGAGAAGCTTGTGCGGTAGCTGATGCCGTTGTGATACAGCGCGTAAAAGCCAACGCCAAGGCTGAAGAATGTCACGGCGATGGCGACACCGTATGCTATCCAGAGGTTGTGGGCGTTGTAGGCGTAGATATTGATCTGAGTTTCGGTGGTAATGTTCGTCGTATAAGTAGTGTTTGCCCTTGCGTGGAGTTAGTATAGAACGACAATCATGACATGAGGCGTGATGTCAATTACCTCAGTCTAGTGTCGCTAAAAAAGCTCAGCGTCACATTCCTAGAAAGTTCCTCGACCATTTCTCCAAGAGTCTTGTTCTTTGTCAAGGCCAGATCTGCGGCTGGGAGCTTTACATAATTTCCTTGACCGGGCAACTGTGGATCTAGTGCCTCATTGACCAGTCCCATCAGCGCGGTAGCTCCGATGGAAGTTCTGGCAGAAAAGAGATACATCATCGTGACATCTTGATAGCCACCGCCCCTGCTGGCGGTGAAGTAGTAAGTTCCGGTCAGGATGTTTGCGATCGCCATGCCAACGGCTCCATAAGTCATGTCGTAGGATGGATCTATGTCCTGCGAATTGAAAGAGACAAGCTCTAGTGATGTTTGTTCTGTCGAAGAGTGGAATTGAACGTTGTAGGAAGTGTTTTTTAATGCGCAAGTATAGTCTTCTTTGGCAAGCCTGATGACGAGCGGGTCGGTGCGTCCGAGGTTTCTGCTTCCGTTTTGGTAAACGAGGTTCAGATTTCCTGGTAAGAATGTGCAAGTGGCACCACCAAGGATGCATTCGTCTGCGAAGGACGCGAAATCTGTGGTGTTCCCGGAGTAATTGGCATAACCAAGAAAATTTGGAGTGAAAGCCATGTACGCTGATTCACTTCCAACGTTGCCTCCGACCCTCTGCTCAAATGCTTGCGAAACCTGGTCAATAGCGCCACGCAAATCAGGATTTGGTTCTTCGCATTTCAGGGACGGACCATTGAAGCTCATAATGTATGTCGAGTTTGGGATCCCTGGCGGCATCGATAAGATGCTCATACTGGATGCAGCAGCCATGGAAGTCCTGGTCAGCAAAGCTGATGGCATACTATTCCACAGATAGATATTGCTGCTCTCCGCATCAAGCACAGGAGAGCCGGTACCGCTGCCCGGCGGAAAGTATATTTGCGGAACTTGACTGGACACTGTGTCGCTGACTAGGACGGGAACTATTGTTAGTGTTGCGGGAGTGATCAGAGCCGACAGAGGAAGCAGCCTAAAGGTATTGTTAGTTGGATTTTAACGATTGTGGCCGAAAAGTGAGATATAACCGCACAAGTGTGACGTGGTTCTACTCACCAGACAAGTGCCGCAAGCAAAGCGGCGACTTTTGACCTCAGTGTTAAGTCAGCACTTGCGAACGCAAGTACATCAGATGTAGCGTTAAACATCGCATCAAGACCGGAGATAGAGTATGCTTTCTCACGGCAAGTGGCCCAGATATGCTGTGTGTATGCGATAGCGATAGAAGTCGCCAGGCAAGTTTTTGCGAGGAAAGCAAAAGCGGTCCCGAACCGAATCTTCCATTCTTGACGATCGATGTCCCACGCTGATGCTGCAATGTCGGTTGGCATCACCTTGGTACCTGCGAGTGATCGATAGTAGCAGTGGTGACCTACTGCTAGAGCGATACCTGCGATGAAGAGAGACAGCATCTTCGCTGGGGCCAGCCAGTATATTCCCCATTTGACCATGTGGGCAGGTCTGTTGCTCTCAGGCGCAGGTGTCGAGTGTATATGCTTACGAAATGGAGACAAGGCTGATGTTTCGCTGGAGCTGACAGCGACATATTTGGGGTCGACCATAATCTTTCGAAGGTTCAGATGGAATTCGCTTAAGCCGTATCGTCGATTGTAGCTTGATGTAACGGAGAAAGAGCCACATTATCACTTCTGTATCAGTTTTCCGCTCGGGTAGAGACGAGGCTTGCCAAGCGTACACAGCCAGCTGGACTCGGTGGAGGCAGTGCACGCACCTCGCGGCCGTTACCTTTATTAGGCCGGATGCATTGCCCTCGGTGGAAGCATACTGCTCCCTCTCGCAATTGATATCAGCATAATTCGACACAGTATTCCGTTGGTCGAAGAACAGCCGTGAACCAAGACCATGCCTGCCCACGGTGATGATGATGATGCTGTCCGGTCAATGCTACGCACGGGAAAAACCACAAAACTGAGGTTAAATTGGCTCTTTTCTCGACTTGGTGGGGCAGGGTCAACGATCTGATGATTGGTGTAACGGACGCCACAGCGGAAAAAGCAACAATCGTGATACGACTTGCAGGACGGCGGCAGCCGTACGGGAGTGAAGCGACGAACTTTCCTGCTCCTTTTCCTGGTCAGCTCACAGAATAGAAGGTAGAGAGATAGTATAGTATCCAAGTAGACAGGTCTATAGCAGACTGCAAGTCACAATAGTGTTGAACCCAGAGGTAACGCTTGTTGTTGCATTCTTGGTGTGGTGACGGCGTCGCATCAGGCTGAAGGCGGGGAAGGCGTGGCTGAACGTGCGCGTAACATGTTAGCTGCAAGGCTATCCCGCAGCGTTGAGAGCTGCATTCCTAAGACAATAGGTGGACCTGTTGGCGCTATACACACAGTGTCAGAGCGCTGGGCTGCCTGCATTATGATCAGCGAGAAGAAGAAAAGTGTCTAGGCGCACAGCGGGTGCGCGAGGGTGGACGCTTAACAGCCGGTACACGCCACTTCGAAATGTTTCTTCGCGTTGCGAATTTCCAGATTCTACGATGCAAGAACTAGAGATCACTGATTGTAGACATTTGAGATGTTGCCTAGTGATGATGTGATTGGACAGTGGTGGTGCTAGAAGCTGTGCCAATGCATGCGCATGCAGCGGGATAATGTCTTTATGTACCTCAGCCGCATCTCGGTCTTTTTGGCAGTAGATCTCCGTGGAGTTAGGTAGGTAGGTAGTTCAGGCCTCATACGTCACCTCGTAGACTTCTCACAAATGCACAGGCCGTTGTAACCGCCAATCATTGTGTCTTTGAATGTCACAGCCCAAAGAGCTCACTTATGTTCGAGTGCAACGCGTTCATGATTGATGAGCATCTAATCTTAGTCACCACTAGCGCCCTGAATCCCTTCCATCGCCTTTTGTAATACTTTCTTCGTATCTTCGTCCACCACGGTCCTCTGTACCTCCTCTATGCGTTCGACCCATAGCCCCCATCTCTCTTCGTTAAAACCATTCCAATCTTCGCCAACAACATCGCTACCCTGCTCAGCGCCACGACCACCAAATTTCCTTCCCTCTTTACAAAAGGCGTACAGAACTTCCCCCGCATATATGAACCATGCCGCAGCTGCTTTACAGCCTTTGTCCCCACTTTTACTGTAGATCTGGCTCGGTATAGAGTCCTCCAACACGGAACGCAGCGTCCAGATCGCGTACATAGAAAGATCTACTAGATTAGCTGCTGTAAGACGAGCCGCAAACGCGTTAATGTTGAATGGTTCTGCGTGTCGCTCTAGCGAGGAATTAGTAAATCGACGTTTGCTTCATGCTTTCACAACGCATAACACTGATAAGGTAGGGTCAAATACCATCATCCCAACTCTCTCGAATGGCGGGTCCAAGCAACGGAAGTTGCTTCCAAGTAGCTTGCTTGCCCCAGATTTCGAACGTAGCCGGTTCTTCTAGGTCAGCCACGGCTTTAAGGACCTCGATCACCCTGTCGAGCTCATGGGCTGGCGTTTGAGATGCGTATTCGACCACTTGGTTCCAGATATCCCACAAAGCAGCCTCACCAGCCTCTGAATCACCAGCAGCAAATGCCGACTCAGCAGGTGCTACAAGAAAAGATGCAGCAGAAGAGATCGGCATAGAATCATCCATAGCTCGCAAGATGGTTGGAGAGGGACGCGGTAGACTTCGAACACCCCCTCCGCGACCACCTCGTCCTCGCATTGAGAGGCTCATGTCTTACGCGGCGAGCTGGCAGGAACAGATGATTTACTCTGCAGGTAATCTTAACTGAGACGTCCAAATTATCTGTTCGTGGGAGGATTGAGACTGTACCTGAAAAGTTTCGGGTCTAATGTGAAGTTCGTGGCCACCTCTTATCCACTGCTCTCGTATTAGCAGTGGAATGATTGGAACTGGCGAGCTTTATATTCGAGATAGCAAAGCGGGAGGTGACGTACACCAGTCACAGCCTTGCGCCCTTGCTCGGATGTGTGTGGCTGCTGAATCCTAGCTAGTGTCTAGTTAGCGCCTTCGCATGAACGATGTCGGACCTTATTTGATGAGACACGTGCTGTTCTGACTAATCAATAGTCGACCAACCTCTCACACTTGGCAGGCTAATAAATACGCATGAAGTTCCAAGACTTTGAATTCAGAGTTGTGGTTGCCAAGCGCTGTATGTCGGGCCTACAACATAATCATTTCTCAGTTTACGAGCCATAACCGCGCGGCGAGACAGTGCATATCGTGTAGCTTGAATGCATCCCACAGTATATGGTTATTGAAAACATGGATCGCCAGAACACTCTGTCTTTTCATCTAACAAATCAACTCGAGATTCGGACTTCAAACAACGGCACTTAATTGTCTAAACATAGTACTCAGGTACAATTGAGCGACTATTTCGACCTGAGCAAGCCTTGTAGATACTGATCTTGTACGCATCTTGCCAATCGCTGTGAAACCACTACCCTGATGTAACCAATACAACCTCGGAATTAAACACATAGAACAAAGGCATTGGGTCGAGAATTGGGAGGGACGCCGTTGTGCGTCATCGCACCAACAAGGTCGCAATTTCCCGTGGTTTGGTCGTAAGCAGCCACGCAACGGTCTGCTCCTGGTGCACCTGAAGATAAGCCATTAGCAAGTAACACTAAAGGAAAAAGCCCCGCAACCGCAGTACGGATATTGCTAGTGATATGGCAATCAAGCCATGCGATGAGGACAACTTCACTCACCTCCATTGTAGGGCCTGTTCCCACGAACTAGCGGATACTCGTACAAGTCTCCGGTGTATGACCCGAAGTTGAGGCGTTCACCGTTATGGAATTTATGAGGGTAACCTCCCGGGCCCTGTCTGTCATCGTACAGACAGAGAGTCGAACGGCAAGCTTCCAGTTGGGAGTCAGTGTACCTAACCCCGTCACATGTCACAGCACGTTTCTCAAGCACGTGAGACGGAGTGGGCGTTGCAAATGCCGACACGGCGAGGAGCGAGACTGCCAGTAGAGCCTACAAGATGCTGTTAACTTGAAGCTCGAGCTAGTGTTTTGTTCTTGAATGTTCATGCCTTGGTAAACATAGCTGGAAGGTGTTGACAGGTGACTCCGAGGTTATTTTCAAAGTTCGACAAAGAATTTTGACGATGACGAGTGACGAATGATGATGTTTCGATCCTTCACTGATAACCTGCTCTTTATACAGAGGTGGTACTCAAGCTCTACAACTGTCTTACGATACCAAGCTAGGTCGGTTTTACCAAGGAGATTATCTCTCCAAACATGCCTTGGCGTAATGTCCGGCATTCCTGGATCCAGAGAAGTTACGCAATGTTCATAGAACAACTATCATCTAGGGATTACACTAATCATGAAACTGTCAGCGATTACATATTGTCTACAATTTTGTGCCTCTGTAGCTATGTCTTTTGGTACGAAAAGAGTAAGTATAAGGGGCTACGCTCAAGGGTCTATCGCCCAGGTACAATAAAGTTGTAGTTGATAGAGAGAAGAACCATAAGCAGTTGGGGTTCTGGAAGCTGTTCAAGAAACGGTGGTCCAGAATATACGTACGCATAATCTGTTTTCTTGAGGGATCTTGGATAGGTAAACAGTGACGTCCTAGCGGCTTGTCAGGTAAGCCCTACGTCGCTTCATTTTGTTAATTGTATTGTGGTCGAAATCTAAGTCGAGAATCGGCCCTACATCGGTCATAGTGGCTGGTGCTTCCATTGTAAGCCCGTAGATCAGGACTACATCGCCTTGAATCAATTCATGCTTCCGATACATATAAAGGGGGTCGTCTCTGTCGTCTTCCAAAATCATCACTCACGATATCGTAACATCTTCGCACTATCATTATCAACACCACCTATCGTCTCGATCAAACCCAGACTTTCTCCGCTTTCTATCTAAACTCACTTCAAGATTCCCATCACTTCAACGTAAGTCTTCTCCAACAAGAGTGTCCTGCTTTTATCTTACTTCTCTCAGATGGTCCAACTCAACACTCTCCTGCTCGCCACCCTCGGCCTCGCCCTTCCCGCAGTAGCGCAAAGGGACTTTTGTGCGGCTATGTCTGGCGAACCTTGGGCTGAATCAGCAACCGGTTTCAGGTTCCAATCGACTAGCGCAGGGACTTGGAACTGGTTCTCTCGCGATCGTGGAACCGATCTGAAGATCTACCAAGATTGCAATGTTGTACAGAACCGACCGAACAGCCAACGGGCTCTTCGAACAGTCTGCATCGCTACGTCCAACAACTACCGGTGCTGGGAGGCTCCTGGCCAGAACGACCCTTCTGGAAGTTGCTTCATTCCTGATTGTTCTAACATCCGCAATGTCTGGGGCTGGTATGATTAGATGCTCGTACTTTTAGGTGCAGGATGAGGGGGATAGGACTTTCACAGTTTCTCATATGTTTTGTATCGACGAAAATAGCAATTAGAATTGTTAAGAATAAACTGTTAGGGTTCGACGTCTCGAAACCATCACAAAACTACTTCAGAAAAGAATCTTCCACCCATGGCCTGCTCTTGCGGGTAACAGTCTTGTCACTGATTCCCTGTGGATATATGCGCATCCGTAAGATCACATGTACCCCTTCCCGACTTAGTTAGCGTTGATAGGAGTGCAGCCGAAGTTGACGACGCCCTAGAATGTTATTGTTAGTGGATATTCGTTTGAAGTAGCTTAGGATCTATCTTACATTTTGCTCCATGTCACCACAGCAGACAGCAGTCTGTTTGCACATGTTCTTGATGGGAACGGCACCGCCAATAACAGCAACAGTGATATCGCTGCACTGGCCGAGGAGGTTCTTGATTCCACCGACATCGGGACTGAGGCCATCATGGTTGGTGACCGCCTGGGCCGTCTCGTCGTTGCAGCAGTGAGCGGTGCTGCCGGCGCCACAGGCATCCGAGCGCTGGAAGACGTTGAAGTTGGTGGGAACAGCCGCGATCATAGCGACGAAAGTGAAGAGAGCGAGGATGATAGACTGGATAGACATTTTGAAGTGTTGTTGGTGGGTTGTTGATGGGTTGATTGAGGAGAGACGAAGAAGTATAGAGATTGGAAATGAGTGTAGTTGGAAGTGAGTGTGGTTGGTTGGTAAAGAGTGTGGTGGTTGTTGTTGTAAATGATTGTGATGAGATGTTCGACTTAGGAAGCCAGAGCAGGCGATACTTATACGTGACAGGAGACAGCAACGTTTGAAGCGGATGGACTAGTAACTATTGATCGTGATCGGGAAGTTCGGGTTTCGTGGAGACAGATCAGCAAGACTACTACACCGCAATACAGCACTGACTGATTAGGAAGTTACTCCACTTCACTATCGTATACATCTTTGTTCAGAGCGACGACGGGTAAATCGTAGTGACGTCAGTGACACTTAGTGTAGCACTGACCGTACTTTCGACGTCCTAAATGCCGGTGCATTATGCGATAGACTTTCCAGCCTAGCACAGTATGAAACGCGAAAGCTGAGGTGTCTTTGACATTTAGGGCAATACAACAGAAGAAGCATAATCTGCGATCACCCAGCTCTTGATTCATTCGCTATATCTAACAGCCAAAAAGGCCGTTGTACGATGGATGTCCAACTGCCGCGAACGGCCATATCGGTCTTGCAGCATCGATTTGTGAAAAGCGGTGTAAAATGATCTTGATTCCTCATCCCGCCGTGATACGTTGGTCGCGCTAAACTACAAATGGGATCAGCGGCTTACGCCTTGGCAATATCATATTGTTGATTCCTAAAAGCAAAACCACTTCAGGCCAGTCAAACCTATGATTGGGATCAACGCACGCCAATAGGCGGGTACAGCAACCGTGCTGGATTAATAACCCCAGAACATCACAATTGCTCCCGATCTCAACACATCGTAATTTCACCAATATAGATCCAACTCATGAAACAATTGAAGCTACCGGCTTCGTGCGCGCTTTGGCCATGGGCGGGTTTGGGCTATCCTAGCAACATCAAGATACCAAAAAGAAAGGCTGCGGAACTATTGGACTCCACATCATCGCGCGCGGAAGTCAACTACCTTCCAGTGGCATGTGTCTCCGGCTAACTGTCGAGACACCAATGGATGAAGTTGTGTTGATCATATCTTGTCGACTGATGGATACGATGACCATCGAGTCGCCTTTCGCCTAATGATACGTCCTCCCTTCCTCCGGCTCTGTGACTGGTTTCGAAGAAAGCGAACAATGTCCGAAGCCTTCAATAATCTCGTTACCTGTGACACCCCATCTAACTTTAGCCAAGTGCGGATCGACTTCGTCAGGCGCTGGATGGCAGGCAGCGCTTATAGCGAGACTACAAGCGGCCACGACTGGAGCCTTCGTTGGCTTCATAGTCAGCCCAATGGCGCAAATGAACCCCAAGAAGCCAAGGAAGACGCAGAGCAGGATGACAAGACCGAACACCGAGAACCCACAAGCCGAGGTCGAACGATTTTCGCGTAGGTTATCCTCCCGGAAGAGAAAGAATGTTTGGGAGACGAGCCAGTGGAGTGTTCCGCTCAGAGCGATTAGTGGAAGACTCCACTTGTATGGGAGCTGCAGAAAGTATGTGCTTCTCTGCTGACCTTTTGGCCGAGTGACTCTCAGACCCTTTCTGGATGTTGCAAAGTCGTTCCACTCCTCAGTACCAGCCATTGATGTGCAAACCAGGTTTGCTGTAAAGTAGCAAGATGACATAAGAAGCTGTGGTACGTTGGCTAGCCATGCACTCCATAGCGTAGCCACTGCGGACGCGCTTTCAGAAGAATATACATACGAGCTAGAAGAAGATCCCCATCGCCAGTTTGCACTTCGAGCCCAAGCAAAGCTAGTGGAGATCAGGATCAGAGTTGATACACAGCTGTAATCTCAGTAATAATCCCACAAGGTAAGAAGAGCAACTTACAGGCAAAGCGAGAAGAACTCGGCTCCCTGTTTATAAGGCTGGTGGCGTGGAAGCCATTGACCTTTGAGACACGGCAATATAACTTCCAGCTCCGTGTTGTTGTTGCCTCGAGTACCCGACGGGCGACCGAAGTTGACAAGTATTTCTTTTCGGCCCAGTACGCATTTCCCTTTTGTGTGCGGGTCGCTGTGTTCCAAGAATGAGCTTGCGGCGTCGCCGAGAGTGACAAGGTACGCCGATTGGTCCGTAGCAAGCACATAGAGCAGTACAACAAACTTGAGTGTGTTGAAGCATACTACTATGACCAGAAAGTAGAGGCTGACTTGTACCCTACTCTGGGGAACCACCACTTTTCTTGAAGACGCTTGCCCTACGTGGAGCATTATGTTCGAAGAAGTTATGTTGTTGTCACCTGACCACACTTGACTGGCTCGTATCCATCCGGAAACTCCCATTGATAATTCCTTCACTCCACTCACGTCACCAGTAGTTGTGTTTGCCAGATAACCAGCAATGGTCATGGATACATTTGTGTTAAGTGGAAATTGTGTAGTATCCAGACTCACCTGATCAATCGCGAGATATAGGTCTCCATGGAACAGCCTTTGTGAAGGCTCTTTCTGATAGAACGCCTCCCATTGATCTGACATGTCCCAGAACTCCCCACTATTCCAGTTCCCAGTGTCAGTGGCGTTCTTGATGTCGTTCCAAGACTGTGATACATGGTTCATGTAGTGAATATGGTACTCGGTATCTCCCTGAAGTCTCACGGTTGTGATTTTGAATATGGAAGCATTATAGCTAGACTTAATGAGTTTCTCCTGGTAACGAATGCGTTCGTGAGCAGACTTACAATAAATGTAGAGGAACTGATGATATCGCTAGCGTCAACCAAAGCGCGGCACGTTTCTTCGCTATCACTCGAAGATTGCGAGGACTGGGAATTCCAATATCAAGCCAAGACCCCTCAGCATGCGCTTCATTGACCTCGGACCTTGTTGGAGAACTCAGGACTTGCATTGTGTAGTTCGACGAGGAGAGCAAAGCGGTGCTAAGTATGTTGATTAGAACGTGTAGGATTGTGTTCAGTTTTCGAACAGATGCGTCGTTGCTCTCATAAATTGTGGATATACCATCAACATCGTAGCCCGATCTGCTGTTCGCTCCTACTAGAATGATAGCGATGTTGGAACAAAGGACCAGGAATGACAGACAGCAACCAAGGAAGACGCCCATGCGCCAGCCTTGCAGGTGGAGGTTAGATAGGCGGAACTTATGAAGGCGAAGTTTTTTCGCCAGAGGTTCCAATTTGTCCAGAGATTTCCCAGGGTACTGCGAAGGCTTGTGAGAAAGGTGATACTGTGAGGTAAAAGGCTGCTTCGTATCCGTTGCGATTGTCCTGGCGCGTTTCGGAATTTGACTGCATGTATCAACACGACGCACAAGGCTCGTTAAGCAACTGGGAGCTCACGCAGTGGATCCTCCATCAACCTCTTCGTTCTCCGAGGTGTCATCATGGTGGTTTGGTTCTTCATTCGGCGACGAACTTCTGGTGGTATGTCGCGACGGACCTTCGAGTGGGCTGACTTCGCCAGCCTCAGGATCTACTTGATGGGAGGGAAGGAGGGGGAATTGAACATTTTCATCGGCCATCATAGAGGATGTGATCAGAACCATGGTAAAAGCCCATGCGGAAGAAGGTGAAGGGCAGGCATTACTTATAGTCTTCAGCCTTGCAGGAAGAGTGTGGCCTTGATAATGGTGGCGGTCTTGGAAGCAGCTTCCGTATGGTTAGATATTTACGCAGGGCGCATCTGATTGGTGAACATGGAATGGGTATGCATCTCAATTGTGTGTGGCTGACTTTGAACCCAGCAATCAATGCATACAAATCATCGAGCGTGGACCTACGAGGCTGTACAGCGTGGGTCCTGCACTGTGGTAACAGGACTTTGAAAGCTGACAGCATGGGCAAAATCGCACTATCGCACCACGGCTCGCAATTATCCACTGCCGATTAGCGGGGTTTTCGCTCCCCGAAGAGCATGTACACCGTTCATTTATGCATCCGACCTATTTTCCAGTTTCAGCCTTCTGTACCTGAGGCTGTACGGACATCTATCGAAAAACCAACAGCCGAGTCTGACCTGCTTAATGAGGACATGCATGTAGCATGTCGTGTAGCGATCTGAATTGTGACGAGCATGGAAAAAGCCACGCCATATCAATCCTGAGAGCTCAACTAGAGGTCTAAATTGAGTGCGGTGACCACGGTCACCGCAGTCCACTCGGTATCGGCAATGTAGTGGGAACTTGAAGCTGTATGCATCTGTTTGACGCCCACACGGATCCAACACGATATTGAAGGGTCTACGTTGCATCATTAAATAATGTTTGAATGAAGTCTTCCAGGCTGGTTCGGTAAAAGGAAACGTGAATCGCGTTATTGATGATCTGGAGTGAGCTGGAAGATTCGGTGTTAGGGATTGTTGCGGCGTGACGGGCGCACGTGAAGCAAAGTTCCGCGGCTCAGGTGTGACCTCATAATGTCAGCACAGCCCTAGTGCATCTCACTCGCCCTTCATCCTTCCACCTATACCAACGCGCACCTCAACCTCGCACATCGCATCGCACGCAGCCGGATTTCGCGACACACTCATCACTATGGGCGCACCCAAATACCAGAACGTGCCTCAGCGCGACTCGCTCGACGAGGCCGCGCCCTCGTACTCGCAGGCGCCACCCAGCTATCAGGCAGCCAACGACCCCCAAGAAGCTCTCCTCAGCGGCGTTCCTCGAAGCGAAAACGACAACGTGCCCGATGACTTCAAGTTTGGCGGCGTCGTGGCCGAGGCGACGCTGGACATCCGGATGGCCTTTATCCGGAAGGTGTATGCCATTTTGTAAGTAACGCAGGTCGCGGACAAGTATCGCAGAAGCTAACGACGCGCAGGACCGTCCAGCTCCTCGCAACTGCCGCCGTAAGCGCCCTCTCGATGATGTCGGAGTCGTACAAGAACTTTATCCAAAACACCCCATGGCTTATGTGGGTGTCGCTGATCGGCTCCTTCGTTTTCCTTGGCCTCACCTTCTGGAAGCGCAAGTCGTATCCCACAAACCTCCTGTTCCTCGCCGGCTTCACCGCCATGGAAGCATACTCCATCTCGGTCATCGTGTCCTTTACCGATTCCAAGATTGTGCTGCAGGCGCTCTTCTTCACGCTGGGCATATTCATCGCGCTGAGCTTGTTTGCATGCCAGAGCAAGTACGACTTTACGCACTGGGCACCGTACCTCTTTGGCGCGCTCTGGGTGGTTGTGCTGTTTGGCTTCATGTCCATGTTCTTTCCCAGCAGCAGCACGGTCGATCTAGTGTATGGCGTCGTTTGCGCGCTCATCTTTTCTGGATACATCCTGGTGGACACACAGATGATTATGCGCCACTACCATGTTGAGGAGGAGATTGCGGCGTCCATCTCGCTCTACCTCGACATCATCAACCTGTTCCTCGCCATCCTGAGGATTCTCAACTCGCAGAACCAGAATTAGAGGGAAGCAAGGTAGGTGTTTAGTAGGGGCTGTAGATTTACTTTGGAGAAATTGCTGGGCGTATGGGGTTACGCGACTGCGCTTGAATAATTTTCAGTCTTTTAGCCGTAGTAATGTAACATGACCACTGCACTTGTCGACTCCATGTTGGTAGGGCTTCTTCCAATAGCTGTGCATGCATATCAGGTCAGGCCATGGCGGGGTATTATGGGGCTGCAGGAGGCGTGGGGGGTATGATTGGTCGGCAAGGTGAAACGCCCGCGACCCTTGATTTTCGGAGCAGGAGCACGAAGCTTGAGGACTTGGCACCGTGATACTTGCAGCAACTTGACGATAACGGCTGCAGGGGCCGCATTGGGAGCAGACGAGGACGGCACAGAGCTTGCAGAGCTTTCTCGTAGGATCGCCACCTCCTTTTCTCCGTCGCAACAGCCTCTCGCTCTGTTCTTGTTGCACCCGGAGGCGCATGCTGCGGTGGAGTTACGCGAGCCCCATTTTTGAAGTGGCCCATATGGTAGCGCGCTCCAGAATCACAGCTACTACATACTGCGATTGCTGCTAGCTCCCGCGACACCTGTCCAGAAATACAGCGGGAGCAATTGGATACCTGCGAGACAATCCTCTCACTCAGACACGCAGCAGCCAGGCAAAAAGAGAGGCAACTCGAGTGGCCAGCTCAGGAGATTGTTGATGCGCGCTTGCCCCATCCATCTCTAAACCCTGAATATCTTTGCTTGGGACCACCACACCGCTTCCTCGACAACACAACTCGTCTGCCCGCGCGCAATTCGTTCCCCTGCGCGGCTACTCCTCCCGTACGCTATCAAGGAGCTCCAGTACCCATTCTTTTCCCGCCTTTTACTGCTCAATGGCTGTTGGTTGCTGAGACACGCACCCACCCGATTACGTCGTTCGCTAAGAGGTGATTGTTGAGCGGGCAATTGAACTTGCACCCAGAAACCCACACGCCGCATCAACCCCCGGGACCCTTCGCCGGACTGCAATCACCACCGTCCATATTGCAAAACAGCCGCCATGGCGACAACACAGCACAGCGACGGCGCGCTGCCAAAGACACACTCGCTGCACATGCAAACCCAAAAGGCACCGTCCGCGCCCAAGAGGCGGAAGATGCAGGCGAAGAAGGTCGACGATGAGGGGCTCATGGCCTCGCTGTGCACGCTCATCTGCGACCACCAGATCGGTACGCCGACGCATTGTTCGTCATGGTTGCTCCCATACTGACTATCGCAGGCATTTCCGTCAACCTCCTCACCCTCCTCTGCCTCACCCACACATTCTTCCCCCGCGCCCGAAGCCGGACCTCCAAGTTCTTCCACATGTCGTACTACAACCCCGACACGGACATGTACGGCTGTGGCACCGACGATCTGCCCTTTGTTCTGCTGTGGACCGTCATATTCACCGGCGTCCGCGTAGCAGTCATGGAATACATGCTCGATCCACTGGCCAGGCTGGGTGGTATCCGCACAAAGAAGGGGCTGGACAGGTTCAAGGAGCAGGCATGGCTCATTGTCTACTACACTGCATCGTGGTCTCTAGGAATGGTATGTCACACTACGACCCAATTCGCGGAACGGTAATGCTAACAAGCTGACAGTACATCATGTACCACTCGGAGTTTTGGCTGAATCTCCACGCCATATGGGAAGGCTGGCCTTTCCGGGAAGCAGATGGCTTGTTCAAGTGGTACTATCTCGTCCAATGGGGCTTCTGGGTTCAGCAGATTCTCGTCGTCAACATTGAGGAGAAGCGCAAGGACTATGCGCAGATGTTCACACACCACATCTTCACTACTGCGCTCATGTGCCTGTCCTACGGTTACTTCCACATGCGCGTCGGCATCGTCATCCTGACCATCATGGACTTTGTCGACATCATCTTGCCCGTAAGTCATCCACACACCAGAATCTCAAGCTGGAAACTAACCAAACAGACCGCCAAACTCCTCAAATACATGGGCTACTCCAACGCCTGCGACTACGCCTTCGGTCTCTTCGTCATCTCCTGGGTCGTCACCCGCCACATCCTCTACATGATGGTCTGCTGGTCCATCTACGCCTACGCACCCGTCGACATGGCTCCCGGCTGTTACCTCGCCGACTCCACCTCGAAGCAGACCTCGTTCGTCCCTGCATCCAATGCATCGCAATTCGAAGCATACGGCGGCAACAACCACTGGGGTAATCTCCTCAAAGCATACAGCGACCGTAACGGACCTATTTGCTGGAACCCGCAGATCCGCTACTACTTCCTCGCACTCCTCCTCACTCTACAAGTCTTCTGCTGCATATGGTTTGCGACTATTGCAAAAATTGTGTACAAGGTGCTCAAGGGCAATGCGGCCGAGGATCTGCGCTCCGACGACGAGGGTGAGGATGAAGAAGTTGAGGTCGATCAGACGAAGACCATTTTCAACATGGCGACTACGTGTGGTGAGAGTGGCATGAGCTCAAGCGGTATGACTGTACAGCCAAAGGAAGAGGAAGTCGGCGTTGATGCGCTGACTTTTGCACGTCTGAATGGGGCGAGTCAGCGACGACAGGCGAAGAGGGACAGTGCAAGGGAGAGCGCGAGGGTGAGTGGGATTAGTATTCCCGGTCATGGGGATCGTAAGGAGCTTTTGGGTAGGATTGGGTGTGATAAGCCTTCTTGAGCTTGTCTCTTCCTGCCTCTGGTGATGCAGGGTTCTTGAGTTTTGCAAGTCGCGAAAAGTCATTCGCGGGGCGTCAGAGGCGTGTGTAGCATACAGTTGCAGGTTTCCAATTTTTTTAAGTCTGCTTCTTTGGTGGTGTATAGGTTTTTTCCCAAGGAATATGTCACTAGAGGTGTGTAATTCCGATCTCGTTGATGATACATGTATACTATACCCCTACAGATCGAATTTAGAGTATTCATAGCTCATGTGTGTGTTGACGAATGTGCTGGTGCTGAAGCACATGGAGAATAATGTTGAATGACACTGTAAACCGATGTCATGTAATCCCACTCTCAAACCTCGGCTCATACTTAGTGTGAGAATGGGATGGTGGGATGGTGGGGCCGACATAGGTACTAACAACAAACGTGTACCTCGGACGACAATCGACAAACAAAGATTCAACAAGAACACGTGCTGTGAACGGAATCTCTGCGTTGCTTCATGATCCATAGTTAGGACCCGTGTTGTGAACCATACGCCTCCACTGCTGCGGTCCTCTCCATACTGATCGTATACCGACTACGCATGCAAACAGCGACCCACAACCACTCGTTATAAACTTCTCCACCACCAACAACCAACCACGCCAACATCAACCAAAACACCCAGCACAGAAACGCCCATAGCAAACTAGACAATGGCGACGCCAGACAACACTACTACTCTCCCCTCCCCACCTTTCTACACGCACATTCCCAACATCAACAACCTGCGCCTAGCCACGCACTCCCTCACCACAAAATCCGGTGCAACGCTCCGCCCAAACCTCCTCTTCCGCAGCGCTGAAGTGTCGAAAGTCGATGCCGAGGGGTGGACGGCACTGCGCCAGCTAGGTGTTGGGCATGTCTTTGATCTACGGAGTAAACCTGAAGTAGACAAGGGTCATTCGAACAATGACAACAACAACGACGCCATTGCAGACGCAGGAGGAGGTATGCAAAAAGCAGGCGTGCAGAGGACGTGGGTGCCAGTCTTTGAAGAAAGCGATTATAGTCCCGAGCGCCTGGCGGAACGGTATGCAAAGTACATGGATCAAGACGTACGTGGCTTTGTAGAAGCGTATTCTGAGTTTTTGAAGAGCGGGGGGAATGCGTATGGGGTTATACTGCGGTATCTAGCAAATTTATCCGCCGCTGCTGCTCCAGGACAAGGAGAAGGAGAAGGAGTGGGGGCTTTGATACACTGCACAGCGGGCAAAGACCGAACGGGAATGTTTTTTGGTCTCTTGTTCGATTTCCTGGGTGTGCCGCGCGATCAGATTGCGACGGAGTACCATCTTACGCAACAAGGTCTTGCGGGCGTTCGCGAACAAGTCGTGCGCAGGTTGCTTGCTAGTCCCGCTTTTACAAAGTACATGACTGCGCAGGCATCCGGGACGCCCATCTCCCCGGGCGATATCGCAAAAGCATTGCATGACGACGCGGCGAGGGGATCATCAAGTGGTAGCGATGGCGATAAGCAGATTCCACAGGAGATTCTGGACAAGGGGAGGGAGGCGGCGTTGAGGATGGTGAGCGCGAGGAAAGAGAGTATGCTGGGGGCGCTGGAGATGTTGGATAGTCAGTTTGGTGGGGCGGAACGGTATATGAGGGAGGTTTGTGGACTTGGTGATGGAGAGTTGGAAGGGTTGAGGAGGAATCTTCTGGTGGGATATGGACGTGAGGCGTGACTAGGAAATCATGGGAAGTACAAGGCAAGTAGGCTGTGAAAGTGGGTATAGATCGCACAACTGTCATCGATTTAAAAAGGAGGGGTATGGTTAGAATAGGCGTTGCTTAGGACTTGCGATAGATATCACCTGTTCGCCTAATCTCATCTTCAACGTCCTCTCCCCTCCCTGCAGCTTCTAGCTTTCTTACTAGTGGCAATACCTCCTTTCCAAAGCGTTCAAGATCCTCCTCATAATGCAGATGCGCCGTCAGCACCAAGTCCACCCCCAAGCTCTTGAGCAAAAGAATCCGATCTGCAATCTGCTCTTTCGTCCCAATCAACTTGGTCTTGAAGCCGTCATTGTATTGCACCAAGTCTTCGAGTTTGCTATCCGCCCACATGCCCTTTTTATTCCCCGTGCTAGCACCAGCTTGTTGCACGGCTTGACGAAAAGCTTCAACAGCTTCCGTATCCGCTTTACCTTGAATCTCCCTCAACACGCGAATAGCTTCCTCTTCCGTTTCGCGGATTATAACGAAGCCATTGACGGCAAATTTCACTTGCCCCTCGCGCCCCACCTTGCGCGCGCGCTCCTTCACATCCGCAATCTGCTCACGGAAACCCTCCAAATCGTTGCCGTTCATGAAATACCAATCGCTCACCTCAGCGCCATTCTTCCTCGCATCGTCGCTATTCCCGCCCTGGAAGATCTCCGGATGCGGTTTCTGAAGCGGCTTAGGCGCCAACTTGTAGTTTCGGAATTGGTAAAAGTCGCCGCCAAAGCTGAACCCTTCCTCGCTGTCTGCAGTCCAGATACCTTTCAATGCGCGGATGAACTCATTGGACCGCCGGTACCGCTCCGCATGCTCGAGCCACCACTGCCCCACAGCCGTGAACTCGCTCTTATTCCAGCCTGAGACAATGTTCACAGCAATACGCCCATTGGTGTAGTTGTCAATACTCGCAATCTGTTTCGCAGCAATAGTAGGGTTCCAGGGCCCGGGAAGTATCGCCGCGATGAGCTTGATACGCTCGGTGCTGTGCAAGAGCGCTTGCGACAGGGACACACTCTCGTGCTGGTTTTCGGCTCCGTACGAGGCGGTGAAACGGATTTGCGTGAGCGCGTACTCGAAGCCGTGGGCTTCGGCGGTCTTGGCATAGCGCACGTTGGAGGCCAGGTCCCAGTTTGTTTTTTGGGGTATCTTGGAGACGACGAGGCCGCCGGAGACGTTGGGGACCCAGTATGCGAATAGGAGACGGTTGGGGTCTTGGTTGAGGTCTAGTTGCTTTGTGGGCGTGTAGCTATCGGATGGTTCCACGGAGTGTCCATTTGTGCCGTTTGTTTTGGTGCTGTCTGTTGCGGTTGGAGAGATAATCAGCCTTGCTCTTCTTGTTATAAAAGTAGTGTTCTGGCAAATTTACCTGTCCTTTGTCTCTTTCGTGCTGACATGTTTGTTCGCAAGAGGCAGTAGAACTCGAGCACGAAAATGGATGGATATACTGGAAAGAAATGTTGAGCTATGATGCCATGCGATGTCAAACTAGAGTACTGTTGCCGGTAAGATGTGCGCACATTAAGCGTGGATTGCGTGCTGTGCAGCCATCCGTGGGATCTGTGGGGTTGACGCAGGTTAGATTATAGCCCTGTAGATCGTGGTTTATTCGCCGAGGATCATACAACTCCAGCATCCCGGGCTTATGGATGATAAGCTGTGACCGGGTAACCCGCAGCAGCCCCAGACGTCCGGCTCCTTCAATTGGCTGTCCAGGATCTTCGGTCGCTCGTCGATGAGACAATCCGAGAGTTCCAAGACGTCATGTGCCGGTGGTTGCAGTAAAACAGCTCTCTAATATCGACCCCACACTATCGTGCAGATAATCCAGCATAGTGCCCTTCAACGAGGATGCGAAATCATGTCGGCGCGATGATGATGCTGAACATTGTCCAGCGCTATCAGTAAGGCCGAAGCACGTAATAAACCATCGCATAGTCGTGATGACTACACATAGACAGTAGAGATGTGCCGCGTCGATACCGGAGTTACATCAAGTATATGCCCATGTCCATTCAATACAAAAGGCTGTGACTTGGAGTCACTCGGCAGCATGAAGATTCCCGTGCACACAGAAAAGCATGCCTGACTTTTCGACCATCGACTTGAACAGCAAAAGCAGCGCTGGCACTACTGATGTCGAGAAGCAGCTCACCCATGAAAGTCCCGCTGTGCCCGTCGCAGCTCCAAAGACACTGGGTGCAGGAGTAAGTAGCGCTGGGTAGATAAAACATTGGTTAGCTGACTTGTCAAGACGGCACTGCCGATTGGGGTATTTGCGACAACCCTGACTACGCTTTCGCTCAGTCTCATGGAATGGCGAGGAGTGACTACGGCCAATGTCTTCGTAGCCAACTTCTTCTTCGCGGCGGCTTTCGGTAAGTCTTCTGTATGGACAGGGTATGTAAGACTTGGCTGACTCCATACTAGGCCTGGTGGTTACTGCACAATGGGAGCTGTCCGTCGGTAACGGCTTCGCGTACACAGTATTTAGTGCTTTTGGCCTGTTCTATGCGGGCTATGGTGCGATCTTAACACCAGCCTTTGGTGTGCAGGCAGCGTATGGAGACAACGTGAAGGAATACAACAACGCTCTTGGGTTCTTCATGATCAGTCAGTCACTCTAGACCAGCGAGGAACAAGAATACCACTAATCATAGCGTAGTGTGGACGGTTTTCGCCTTGGTGTTCCTTGTAGCCTCGTTGCCGACAAACTTGGTATACATCATCATCTTCTTCTGCGTAGAGCTAGGATTCCTCTTAGTCTCGGCGTCTTACTTTGCCGTGGCAGATGGACATCCAGCTGCGTCGATCTCTCTCAAGAAGGGCGGTGGTGCATTCTGCTTCTTGGCTGGACTGACTGGGTGGTACCTGACGTTCGCTCTGTTACTCAAAGACTCTATTGTCGAGTTACCACTTGGCGACACTTCGAGGTTCTTTGCGAAGAGCAGAAAGGCGCAGTGAGCGATAAGCGACACCCTACTTCGTATGGGTATCAGAGGGCACCTCGGCGACGTGCGGTTTGCAGAACACTGTGATGGGTGATAGTAATTCGGGGTTGAGGATGATGCGATTGAGGGGTTAGATGGCGAACGCGGTTCGGGATCAATAGTGAGTTCGGAAGTAAGGCTAGTCTAGTTCGAGCTTAGCACATATGCAAAGACGCGGATGTCCCCACCGTCAGCGTTTGTCGACGCGTCCCACATCCATACTCACGCGTTCACATGTTGCAACGCTACTGCGATCCGCGCTCTACCCCCACGGCATCGCAACGATCTATTGCTGCTGGTGTGCCGGCAGATAGCTCGATTCTCACAATGTCGGCGGCACATCCCTGTCTCAATCCTCCGTTCTGGTGACCACTCACGTTTTGCCCACCTGCTCGACTGCATCCACACAGATAGGTCGCAGATGAGACGATAGCACGCAATAATTTGGGCCTCTCGAATCATTTCGAAGCACTCTTAACGAGTGCCTGCATATAAGGACATGCATCGGAAGGTTGATGATACACGCCACATAATTAGGCTTCATCAACATCTTGAATACGCACACGATGGCTATCACCAACGGAACTAATGGTCCACATGGGAACGCGGAAGATGTGGACTTTAGGGATCCGGCTGTTTACGCCGGGTATGAGAAGCAATGGTCGTCGATTCCGGAAGATGAAGCAGGTTGGCTCCAGCGTGCGCAAGAGGTTGCAGACGTTCTTGCCACTGATGCCGTCGTGCGAGACCAAGAGAACAAATCTCCGCGAGCGGAAGTAGCTCTGCTAAAGTACTCTGGGCTTCTCAAGATCCTTGGTCCAAAGCAGTATGGTGGTGGTGGTCAGCAATGGAGTGTTGCCTACAAAGCAATTCGGAAGGTAGCTGAAACAGATGGGTACGATTGGTCCTCTCCTGTTCGTGTCTGTGTATTGATCATTGTAGTTCAATCGGCATGCTGCTCGGCTACCACCTCCTATGGTCGACCACGGCGAACATTGTCGGCTCACCTGAACAAGCCGACCGCTTCCAGAAGCTTATAACCGAGAACAATTATTTCATCGGAGGCGCTGTGAACCCCAGGGACAGCGACTTATCGATCAAATCGGATGGGGCCAACATTGTGTTCAACGGGTTCAAGTTCTTCAATACTGGCGGTGTTGTCTCTGACCTTACTGTTCTTGAGGGTGTCTATGAAAGCACCGGCAACCATATCTTCGCTTTCGCAAAGACCAATCAACCCGGTATTCAATTCGGACATGATTGGAACAATATCGGTCTCCGCTTGACCGAGTCTGGTAGCGTGAAGATTTCCGATGTGAGCGTGCCTTGGACGGATGCGCTCGGTTGGAACGTAGAGACAAAAGAACCCGATCCGCGCGCGCTGCAGATACCCTTCGCCACGCTGCTACTCCCAACTATCCAGCTTGTCTTCAGCAACTTTTATCTCGGTATCGCGTTAGGCGCACAACAATATGCAGCACGATATACGGTGAAGGGCACTCGGGCGTGGCCATTTGGCGGTGATGTAAGCAGACAAGTATCCCACAAGCTCTGAAGATTGTGGCTAATGCAGACTTAGAACAAAGAGAGGGCGACAGATGAATTCTATATCCTCGAACGCTATGGAAACTTCCACGCTCACCTTCGTGCCGCGTCAGCCCTAGCAGACCGGGCGGGCCAAGAAGTTGACGCGATCTTGGGCAAGTATGCAGGTAACCTGGACACCCGTGGGAAGCTCACGGCCCGGGAGCGAGGCGAGCTGGCAGAGTGGGTGGCAAGTGTCAAAGTCGTCGCAACGGATACTAGCCTACGGGTCACTTCTGGAGTATTCGAAGTCACAGGCGCGAAGGCGACAAGCCAGAAAGTAGGCTTAGATCGGTTCTGGAGGGACGTCAGGACGCACACGCTGCATGATCCAGTCGCGTACAAGAATCGGGAGCTAGGAAGATTTGAATTGCTAGACGAAATCCCTGAGGCTACATGGTATACGTAGTTGGGCTCTTTGAATTTCCCAAAACCTGCAAAGATGGAGCGTATCCAAATTCATACAAGATTAGGAAATGTTTGAGCCGCAGAGATACTCAACGCCTTGGCTGCCCCCTGCTTCACTACCCCAAACGTAGCCTCGTTGGTCCAGAATTCATAGTCTGCAGCACCTTTGCCCGGCTTGTTGATCTGCCAAACCATCCATGGTACCTTGAGCCCATTGAAGATGTCGATATGCTGACCTACAACACTAGCCTTGTCGGAACCAGTAGCGCCAAATTCTTCGAACAGCACGAGTTTCTTGGCGGCTTGAGCGTGCTGTAGCGCGATGGGCGCTTTGTTGCGCCATTCGGAAACGCCGCTGTAGGAGTGGATATCGATGAGATCAAGTGTTGCGCAGCTCCAATTCTCGGGGATATCGGAGTTGGGAAATTCATTTCCGCCGCCTGAATATGGAGTGGTCAATACCATAATCTCTGGAGTCTGGAGTCTCAGATGGAAGCGGGTATATTACGTACCTGTTGAGATGAGAATCTTGCTATCTCCCATGATGCTTCGCATCTTCTTGCTTCGATCACACCACCATTTTGGTACAGGTGCGATGTTGTTGCGCAAATGTCCTTGCCCTTCGTTCTGTATGTTGAACGCGAAGATGTAATCCGAAAGATCTTTCCATTGCGGTGAACCCGAGATCAACTGATTCTTGTGTTGGAGGATGTATGTAAGGCGGTTGTCAAAGTCGTAGATTGGCGATGCATCCTGGTAAAAGAATGTTACATCGTTCTGAGCGGCAGGCGTTTTCGCGCAGTCGATAGCAGGAAGTTTGTATTTGGAAACGTATGTGTCTGTGTCCAAGATGCGTCAGTGGCCGTAAAAGCTTTGGTCCAATTTGAAGAAGACCATACCATTTCCCCAACAACCCAACTGGTAGCGGTCATGCATAGCGATAACTAGTTTGATGCCTCGTTCACGCGCTTCAAGCATGAGCTGATCAATAGCACGTAGCTGGGTGTCATCGTATGTGCCGACCTGTTGTGGCTCGATGTCGGGCATGTTGACGGAGCCGGTATCTTTGTTGTTTTGAAGTGTGTGAGAGATGAAGATACGCAACGTCTTGAGCTTGGCATCTTTGACTGCGTCAAGGACAGCCAAGCGATCGGATCTGTGAACAGTCAGTCGAAGCCGAAGAAATCCTGAAGGATCCGTACTTTTGATAGGCATGAAGAAAGTAGGAGTTGACTCCAGCCCAGCTCGAGGATATGTCTCTTTCTTCGAGTGGTTGCGCCGCCGAGATAGATGCGCTCATGGCGAGCGGAAGCAGATATTTGAGAAGCTGCATGATAAACGTGTTCGAGATGAGGCTGCTCTGATGACCGTCAATGTACGAGGGCTTCACTCCTACTTATGCTTCCTAGCCTTATATCTTTGACCTAGTGTCTGTAACATCGGGCTCGCGACCTTCCCTCTCGAACGTTGCGCATGCGTCTGCAACCTTCTGTTTGCGACCTGCCATCTCCGATCTTGCAATGTTCGGACGCTCCGATTCTGCTTTCTCCACACTATGTCGAACGTCAATGTTGTAGTGAGGATACACTTCAAGACTAAGTCCAAAAAAGGATTTTGCAAACACGGAGCGGCAGGGACCGTATGAACCAGAGTTAGTACATCACAGCAGCGACATCTAGTCCGCACTGATCCGCTAGCCTTTAATTACCGGAGCCTGGTCGCCCGTGCCGTGTTTGGACTAGAGTATATATAAGGCTCACTCGTGTTCTAAAACAATCCCTAGCAACCTTTATAGTGACATTCCTAGTTCGAACTTGCGCAAACTGTGGGTGGACATTGGACCGGAGTTGTATGATCGACATTGGAGGGGTAACTAACGGTTCTCTGACAACCGCGGTTATTTGGCTGTTGGATCTAGATTTAGCACCGAAGGCTTACCGCCCGCCCGCGCAGATCGGAGTAGCTTGTAGCATTGCATCTGGATACTCTTGTGCCCCGGAAGCCACGGCGGATTTGAACAACAATACGTTTTGCCATGCGCCTGTTCCCATAATGGACTCTGGTCCTTGTATGACCCATTCCCTAGGTGGCTGCAGCTGCGCATGAACGCCAAAAGGCGCCATGACTTTCAGCGTGCCGTGACCCTCCGCTTCATCAATCTTGATTTCTACGCCGATACTACCAGCGACGGTCGCAAGGGTGCAATTGATCCTCTCTAGACCGGCAAAGACTGGTGCGATGCGAAACGACGTCCAGCCTGGCTCGGTAGGCTGAAGCCCTGCTAAATATCGAGGCAGAAGTGACACTGGCCACGTCGACCAGCCATGCATCAACGACGTGTCGTGACCGTGCGGCGTTCCGTCTGTCTTCATGGCTTCCCAATGTCCTCCAGAGTAGTTTGGATTTGATGTGTCAGCCATCGGTCCCCAGACGCGCTCGATGAGCCTCCGCGCTTCAAGACCTTGATGTCGTGAAAACAATGCCTCAACTGCGAACCCTGTTGCGTACGGACTGACAATGTCCGCTACACTCCAATGAGCAAGGCCCCGGAAGGCACGAGGGAGCTGCGATTGTGGGTCAATCAAATGCTCAAGATCGTTCGCATGACTAGGAAGCAGCCCCATAGTCACGGCATGGGCTTTGTTATCTTGACAGATACCGTCGCTTGGTAGATCTTCATTCAGGCGATAGACACCGGTGGAAGCATCGTAGAAGCGTTTCAGTACCTCCACCTTAAGCTTCTTGGCTTGCGATAGATATTTTTGCTTGGCTTCTGGGCAGAGTTGCTATCAGTCAATCAGTCAGTTGTCAGTTCATCTTTGCGGTTCAAACTGTCAGTCTGGAGGTAGTGAACTGACCTGATTGACTGCCAAGACATTTTTTAGAATCGCGAACTGAGACTGA